GTGACCGACAACGGTTACGGGTCGTCCGCAGGGTATTATCGAGCGGACTTCCATTATATATATATATATATATATGTATATATTTCCCACTTCGTTTCGACCCAGACAATAATGATATAGTAATAATCAAAATAACGTATAGAATAATAATATGTGTAACTGGTCGGAACGCGGAGTAGGAGAGAAACAACGACGATTCGGCGACGAAAACCACCGCCGCCGTCTACTAGTGCTGTACAACGACCGGCACAACAGAATACTATTCTGATCGCGCTCTAAAAAACCGGTCCCCCGTGGCGTCGGCGGCGGCGGGGTGGTGCGTCTCATTATAAAAGCGACAACGATGTGCACGCGCACCGCTCGGGCGTTGTTACACACGAAAACATGTAAAAAAAAAAAAAAACAAAAAACAAAACGAAGAGGAGCTGTTAGATCGTTTATATTTATATTATCATTATTTTTGTACACGCGGCCAACGCGAAAGCTTTATCAATACCGACGCCACGCCTCCGAGAACGGTACGGACGAAAACGAGGCGAAAAATCGCGCGAATCCCCGACGCAACGCGATCGGATGTGCACGTGAAAACGCGCGCCCCTTAACGGTTTTATTAACCGCCCCCCGTCCCGCAACCGGTTTACGGCAGCCGAGTACGAGGATCGGCAGGGCTCCCGCCGGTCCCGCGAAGCTACGTCGGACACGAAAAAGCTGCTAGCGTAACAATCCGCCGGCGCACGGTCGGTGCGCACGCGCGTGTGTAACACCGTAAAACACGGGCGGCGGTAAGGCGCGCAACTGGGCCACCGGGGCGCGCGGGGTGACGTTGGGCGGAGATTATGTGACCTACTCGCCGGGACCCTAATTAAAGGAACGCGTTGCGAAACGCCTAAGCCGCGTCGCGCGCCCGTGTACGTGTGTACGTGTGCGCGTGTGTGCGTATTGGCGCGTACAAGTGCACGGTTAGGTTTGTACGCGCGCGTTTCAACGTAAACGACGCGTTTGTGTGCGCGTCTACTGGGTGCGTACCCGCCGCGACGCACATGACAACACGAACACACACGGCAGCGCGTCCACCGCACACGCCGCACGCACGCAACGTGTACGGGCGCGTCTGCGCGTATGCTAATCTACATTCTGAATGCATGCGAGCGTGCGTGCGCGCGCGCCAGAGAAATAAAAAACAATAATAATATCAAAACGCCGTCGAGAACGAGAAGAATGATGACAACTGTTGTGCAACGCGCGGCTCACGTAGGTTTGTTGTGTGTACGGTACGCTTAAGGATGGATAATATTACGTGTGGAACGCGTCCGTACGAGTACGTGAGCGTGTGTGAGACTAGGTTTTCGTTTTCGTTCGGACTGTTAGCGTTGTTTTATTTATTTATTTATTTTTTTTTTTTGCTAAATTTTCGTAAGAAAAAAAATTAACGTCCAGACTCGCTTCCGCGCGGTAGTAGATAACGCAAGAAACTAGGGAACCGCCGCTGAAATTCTCCCCACCTCCGTTCCCGGCAACAGCCGTAACGTTACGACGGATTATTAATGGTCCGTTAACGAGTCTATCGAGTCTTTCTCTCTCTCTCTCTCTCTCTCTCTCTCTTAATGTCTATATATCTATCTCGCACGTACACGCATAAAATCGCAAGATATCGGGTTTGCACGACTCGAACGGCGCGAGCGCGTTTCCGAAACAGTTTTACTCACGGAAAAAAAAAAACCGTTCGTTTTTCACACTATCAATCGTGTGCGATGATTACGAGTGCTGAATCTTATCAGCAACTTGCATGAATACAAACACGAATTCACTGTATCCATCCGCAGCGAAAACGGGAATGTAGTCGAATTGGTAATATCGGTAATTATTGTAGCAAATTTCAAAACGAAACTCCCCACATTATATGCAACAATCGGTGTGCTGTTCGATGTCTCTACGTTATGTGGTTAGTAAAAAAATAATATAAAAAATAATTTCGAGTGTAAAAACATAATTCATACAATAGATACATATATATATCTATATATTTTAATGTGCCAATTTTAGGATTCCATGTAACAATCATCACAAAACAATCAACATTACATACACAGAACAGGATTTCCGAACACGATTACCACTAACACTCTGGTGGTAAAAATAACGGAAGTCAAATGCATTTCAATAGAATAGCACACTGAATGCCCACGTAACAGCGTATTATATGTGTATATACGAATACACCTCGATGTCTATCTGTACTTTCGTATGAAGCGGGAAATTAGGTTAATTTTCAAGCCAAAACCAATTATTATTGATACCACGCAGTTTTATCATTTTTTAATCTAAACAATAAAAATAAATGAACACAACAAAATATTGTACATTTTACGTATGAAAAAATATTTGTGGTTTAATAATAACCCCACTCTGTGCGTATCATAAACGGCATCGAAAATTAAAGAATAATAATATATATAATATTTATTATAACGCGTAATAATAATATATAACGCGTGTATGAATAAAGTATACATGCATACATACACGTTATTCAATTTTAACTTTTTATTCCTAAAAAAAAAAAAAATCGAAGGACTGAATAGATTATATACAATATACATATATAGTCGTTTTTATATGTATTACTATTATGTATTTGATATTCTACCGGTGGGACGAATTGCCTTGTCATAGAATAGCAGAATTAATAATAATAATAAACTGTATGATGTCATGAAAGAATGGTGGAAAGCAATAGAGGGCGAGAGGGGGGACACTGAGAAAATCTTGACGATCTTGACACGGATTCGGTCTGTAGAACAGAAAAACCGAGTTTTTTTATCATTATTATCTCTGCGTGTATATTCTCCATAATACCAGTTACAAAATAGTAAATGTGTTTTTTATAACTTGTTACAAAAATCTGACGGCGATTTTTTTTATTTTGAATGATAATATTAAATCATCAAAATTGTACGATGAATTAACATTTAAATATTATGTATATGAATTCGTCCCAGGTTCATTTTCTAAAAGTAACTTTTTGAAAAATATATTCTAATTGATCTAATTTAATTTATCTATTACGTGATATATCAAATAAATAGCAACGAATTACAGGGCTTCCTGGCAATTATAAATATACATCAACTTGGTTAGTTTGAGTTAATATTATATTGTGTTTTTGTTTAAGTATAAAAACAAATTAATAAACACATGAAACACATGAAACATATGAACATAAAACAATTATTTGTACACATGGTAAAAAGAATCATTACACAATACGCAAACTTTCATTATTATCTAGCAGATGAAAATATTTTAATTGAAATTTCTTCTCCCAACGTGCAATATATACTTTCGATAGTTTACGTTGAAACGATTAATTGGATAACCTCAAGTGAGGTGCAGAGATAAAGTACAACACGTAATTTTAAAACTATAATATAACGTTAACTTTAAAAACTATAATAAGGACGGTACGCAAACACGGGGAGATTAAAACGCTTTTAAAATTGTGTAAGAAAATTGAAAACGACAACTCTATACATTTTTTTAAATACCTAGAGGTTTTCGATTTTTTAGTATAATAACTAACAACTAATTATTACGTAGGAACGATTTTAATAACAAACAAAAGTAATATACTGCATGCATCGTTACCTGACAATAGAATAATCAATACCACTATAAACTTCTATACATGTGTATCTACTATAATAACCGTACAGTACAATGATGACCAAACAATAAAATTTAAAATAAACTTACACATAGTTAACATGTGTGTATTTAATATGCGCGTGTAGAAAATTAAAATAAAAAATTATCAACCTCTCGAACTCTAAAATTTGACTTTGAACGATAGGCAAAAAAAAACCAGGTTTAAGGAAATAAACGAAAATACGGGTTATTAAAGTTGTACTTGTGCGATCGTAAGCTTTTTTTTCACGCGATATAGATAATTCACAATGCTATGTAACCCGCATTTTTACAAAACACGATCAACTACGAATAACAATAATTATTTATTATTATTATACAATTTAGGATACAATTTTGACGATCCATAGTTACGCTGTTCGGATAAGCGTAGGTAATAATAAATACAACTACCGAAATTCGAAACACATAACGAAACCAGTTTATGTCAATTGCAACGGGGGTCTCACGTGTTCTAAAACGTTATGCCTAAAGGTACAGTAATACACGGCGCGTTTTGTAACATGCACGCGAGGCGACTCTTTCGAAGTCGGGAGCAGTATTTAATCAAAAATTATTGGTAGAACGATCAAAAATTATACAACAGTATAATGCAGTGATCGCAGCGCAACGACGAACCCCTCGTTGAATTAATTAGCATTTTTCACATTGTCATACGGCCCAAGAGAGTAGTACAACACACACGCGTAACACACGTATAAAATTACAATAACACTCGTAGTAGATTGGTGTACACCGTCGGAATAACAGTAAAAACTCACGGGTGAGAGAGAAGGGGGGGGCAATTTAAGGATTAGAAGGGACGAAGTTTTTCGTTTTCGCGAATTGTGTAAACGAATGCGTGTTTCGGGTCCAGACGAATTTGATTTCCGATCGCATTCTCGTGTACAGCGTACAAAAAATTTATATTTCATACCGTCGACGTACATCGGAAACAAAATGCCACCGGATAAAAACAACAACGAAAAGTAACCCGTACACGGTTTAGTGGAGTGCCTATTATTTCGTTACGAAAAACGTAAATTTACGACCGTCATTACCGTCCAGCACACGCACACCCTGCACCGTTTACAAGACGCGTGTGTACACTGTTGTGTATACGTAGGACCGACACCGACGTTACTCGCCATCGGCTTAAAAAGCGTAATTACGTATACGTGCGTTATAATGCGATACACGTGAGCGTAAATTAAAAGAATACTTCGGCGGCCAACGTAATAGTAATATAATAATGTCGAGAAATAAAAATAAGAAGAAGAAGAAGAAGAAGAAAAATTATAATAATATAAACTAACCTTCGAGCTTCATGCCAACTTCGAGACACTTCTGGAACCGGCAAAACGGACACCGCTTCCTTTGCGTCTTGTCGATGTGACACGCGCGCTCGGCCACGCACGTGTACACCTTTTTGTTTTGAACGGTCCGCTTGAAGAAGCCTTTGCACGACTCGCACGTGAGCAGACCGTAATGGTAACCGGACACCTTGTCGCCGCACACCGGGCACAGTTCCTCGATGCCCTCCTTGGTGTCGGGCAGCTCGGAACCACCGGTGGACGGATTGATGGACGCGGCCGCGCCGGTGGCCACGGGCGTGCCGCCGCCACCGCTGCCGCCGCCGCCGCCGACGGCCACGTACTGCTGGAGGCCGTCCATGGAACCGGAGACGCCGCTTCCGCCGCCGTTGGCACCTGCGGAACCGAACAAATACGCTGTGTCCACATTACCCAGCTGATAACAGCCCTGGTTACTACCGCCCATCATCGAGTACGCGGCGGCCGCGCTAGACGTGGGCGTCTGGTGCTGGGGCGGCATGTACTGGTACAGGGGCGGCGATGAGGCGGGCGGCTGGTAAAGCGAATCGTCGCCGCCGTCGTCGCCGGACGCCTGTGGCGGGCTAAGCCCGAAATGGGACAGATAACTGGCGGAATGGTCCATGCCGGCTGCTAACATATGACGTACGTACGGGGCGTCCCGGAGGGGCACCCACTGGACACGCGGTTCGCACTGTTCGTCAAGAGTACGGGCTCGAGAGCATAGTACTAATTATTGTACCATACACCGCGACGGGGTTTTGTGGGTACCGCGACCGTTTTACGATATTTTTTATGTACTTCTCCTGGTGTCACGATGGATGTGTATTGAAAACGCGCGCAACAACGATAACGGCGTTGCGCTGGAATGCCGCCGACGGTATATGCGGTTGCTGCTGGTGCTGGCCGCGCGCGCGGACGCGGGAGGCGGCTAGCTGTCGGCTTTCGTCATGTCCTAGGCTATTACACTGGTTGGCGAGACTCGTTTGCACAACAACGTGCCCGGCCCGATTTCGTCACTGAGACTGAATCGGGCGACGACTACGGCGCGGCGACTACGACGACGACGACGACGAAATGCAACCGCTGCGGCTCGTCGCACACACACACGCAGGCACACAAACACGCGCTACACGCACCGGTACCGGTGGGGGACCGACACACTACTGGCGCGCGCGGACACAGTAAACGCGGCGGCGGCGACGACGACGGACGACGACCAAATACACACGAATTAAAATTAATAATAAACGCTTATTATATTATGGATTCGATAAAAAAAAAAAAAAAATCATCCGATTCGTATTTACAAACGAAATAAATAAATATTACGTGTATTATGTAAAACACTGCGACGGAATTTATAAAACGTACGAAATTATTTTAAAATCAATCCAGAAAACGATTGTTTTTATTTTTATTATTTTTTTTTTTTTTTAATTACAAGTACCGCAGAAGGATCGATTTTATTAAACGAAACAAATCGAGCGCGTTCGACGAACACATGTACGAAACTTCGCGGCAGAGTCAGGTTAGCCGTGGCCGTAAGATCGGATACCACACACACAGACACACTGACACGGACGGCACGACGAAACGGCTGAAACAAGTGAAAGTGACGGGGCCGGCCCGAGGTGGGGGCAAATGCGTAATGACTGGGGCGGCGGCGGCGGTGGAGGCGGCGAGCGGCGGCGCGATCGCACCGGTGGCGGGACGTAGGAGGGATCTCAATGACCTACTTTCAATTCTATGTGTGCGCGCGCGCGCGCATGTGTGTGTGTGTCCACAATGAGTCCGACGCGGAGCGGACAGGCGCGGGCGCGCGCGTGTACGTAACGCGTAAACTTGTGTGTGTAACGCGTACTCGTGTGTGCGTGTGTGCGTGTGTGTGCGTGCGTGTGTGTGTGTGTGTGTGTGTGTGTGTGTGTGTGTGTATACGTATGCGTACATGTATGTAAGCGTATATGTACACGGGCGCGCGCGCGCCGAGAAGGGTGAACGAAGATACGCGCGTCTCACCTCAAGGTTGCTTAAATAATTAACTAATATTATAATATATCATATTATATTTGGAAGGAATAAACGAGTTTAATAATATAACATTAAAATAAAAAATTAAAAAATTAAAGATATATTTATAATTAACGTAATCATATTAATTTTACGGGTTAAGAGACAAGCGCGTTTTTTATTATCTTAAACTCTTGTAAGAGAATATCACGAAAACCTCGGGACTTGAATACAGTCGATGTTGAGTTTTAAAAATGATTTTATTTAAACCATTCTACATTCCTTATATTTAAGAACGCACAGAATAAACGATATCAGATCGATTTTATTTATAGTTTCTACGTATCTAACCATAAAAGCTTTACACAACTTTATGTCTTGTTCTGTTAAGTTGCATACATAAATTCTATTGTTGAGTGAATTGTTTGGGAAAAAAAGTAAAATATATTCGAACTTAGATAATTCAATATACGCTAATGACAACCTTTTTTTTTAGAAAATATTTTATAAACGTATAACCAACCGATAGTTTTGTTGGTTAAACATTATGTAAATTTTACATATGCTTAAAGTATTACGAAAAGTTATAATTACAGAACAATTTTTTGTTAAATCAACGTGTTCAAAACATATTCCATAATTAATGATATTTATAGCGTATATAATTTGTTACGATTGTTTTATTTGCGAGATTGATTAGGTATAACCCTATGGGCTTTTTAATGTGAAAATATAACCTCTGCATCTAAACAAAATATAATACGATTACTACACTGTGAAACTGATCACTGTATCACTTAAATTAGCTTTAAACATTAAATGCAGACTATTAATTATAATATATATATAATATACATCGAATACATGTCTTAGTTAAATTACAAAAAAATTGTGCATAGGAAGTCGATTGCGATAATTTGATAACTTGTTTTTATTTAGCAGAATATAATTAATATTATTATTAATATTTTATTAAATCTATTATATAAAATATAAATTCCAACGTTCAGATATTAAAGCATCCTAATGTTATGTAACATTGTAATGAATACATAATTAAATCGAATTTATAATATTTAAGTTTATAACATGTAAATTTCAATTTTTAAATGAACTAAAAATTAAAATTAAAAAACGGTTTTTAAGACTTGTTTATAGTTAAATATAATAAAAATAATATAAATAAAATCATCTAGATGAAATTATTTTACAACTAACCATTGATACATTTCTGATAATTTTAACTAAAATTATAAAACATAATATTTTGTACGATCATGCGTGATGTCATGTGTTTTAAAGTTGTCATCTCATTGACCCAATTCCCAGGGGAAAATATTATTATCTCGCATCAGACCCCTAATGATACTATGTATGAGTATAAAAAAAAAATGAAGTCCGCCTCATTTTTGTAATTTGTTCTACACACTAGGAGAATCCAATCCCTTCAGATTTTTTTGCTATTCAAAAACGTTGTGTTTTGACACACCCCCCATATGCATGTAGCAGATAGTCACCTGATACTGTCGACAGGTGCAAGGGTTATTAGAATAAACCCATTCAAACAGTATTTAAGGTTTTCCCCAAACAACCATAAGGTTTACAATATGTAATAAAAAAAAATATTTTTTAAATAATTATGTAAACGTGACCTATTTCCCACACAACTTAAGACCTAACCAATATTATAATTAGGATGCTTTTTAAAACCATGTGCGTTCAATCTAAAAATATTCACATATAATACATATATGTGATGTATAATATTAAACATATGACCGATTATAAATCCATAATTTAAAGTTACAATATATAAAATGCAAGTTCAATTGTTCTTATTTTGTGCAAATATGAAGAGAAATGTCAAGTGTCGAGCTTAGATCTATTCAGCTTCTGCAAAATGATACACCATATGGATTATAGTGTATGGTGTCCTACTAACCTACATAATCAAGTGTGCTCTCGATTTCTTATCAGTAGTTAGAAAAAAACAAAAAACAAAGTACAATTATATTTGCACACGCAACTCGAATGAAATCAATAAAAATCCTTTTACGGGTGTTTTATCAGTTGGAAAAAACAAAAGTTTAAAGCAAAACATAAAGTAAACTAGCATATTATTAGAATTATTTAGGCACGTTAACGTACTAATGTTCACAACAATATACGCTAACTTCAAGGCAATTTAATGTTGTAAAATAAAACAATACGTATATCATAATAATTATAATACATGTATACACTAGGTTTATCTGCACGATGAATGCATGATTAAATTTAAATTGTATTAAAATACCAATCGATAATAATCTATGTTCACGAATAAAAATCTATAATCATTTAAATGATGATTGTTCGTATGCTCGCGACTAAAAATGTCTGAAAATTTGAATTTTTAATAACTCAAAAAAACATTTTATAATCTTGCTACTCGAAATCAATATTACTTAATAATGACTAATATTAGATAGAGTATCATAAAGTTCAACAAAATAAATGATAAAAAAGTAATAATACAATTTGACGTCATCCTCTCAATATTATAAGCTTGGTGAAATTAATTTCTGAAATAGTACAGTACATAGATACAAAAACGATTAGTAAAAACATTAAAAATGTTCCATTTTATAATATTATCAGAATATACACCAAATTTTCTATATGCGTACAATATTAGATTTTTAAGAAACCGAGTAAAAATGGTAAAACATTTACTGTCAAACCATACTACTTTATTATTCATGTATGTCAAAGTAGAACGTAAGTAAAAAACAGACACACTGGTATCGATTGTTATCGCGTCTTTTTATTATTTGAGCTAGGGCATGCAGGTCCATAGTTCAATACATACACAGAATACTTTGAAATTCTATATTTATGTATCTAGGTTACCAACAACAATATCGTACATAATTATTACATTTAAGTAAATATATACAAAACTCACACAAACGTGAAATTAATCTAATTGATAACGGAGTTAAAATTATTAACTTCCGAACTCGTAACGTTTCTCCGTTTTACTCGATGTTTTCGAAATAGCCCACAGAACGTACTCGCGAGTTCTTTCTTTGTGTTAATGACAAACCACCGAATGTCATAATCGATATAGAAACCTAATAAGATACTAGCGCATAAGGTCATTCAACATCGCATTTACAGTGATCATAACAATCGTTTAATAACATTTGAGGTTTCAGAGACACGTTTCGCGCATATTATTTATAAAAAATACAAGCGTACGCTACACATGCGAACGGAATCATATGATGCGTAGGTACTGCTTGATTATTAGCATTTGTTGTGGATCACTGTGTACGTGGCGCATTTTAATTTTGCAAAATGAACAACGGCGTGGGGGATTCGGC